TGGTCTGTTCCTTGGGACAAGAGGGGCAGAAAGGAGAAACTTAGGGCTCTGGGGCACCCTTCAATGAGGTTTGTGACATACATTACAACTGGTGGTACTATAACTGAAGTCATGTCCTTCATTAGTATTCAAGAAACTATATCACTGACACTTATCACTAAAAGTTTCATTATAACAATGATTTTACTAGTTCCAAGACTCCCAACCTGAGGCTTAAAATCATGTCTTACTTGATTTAATATGGTGGAGGGCTGTATTAAGGTGGCCAATGCATGGAAATATTTCAGACTGAGAGTTAGATGGGCAGTTCCACCCAATATTAATGGAATTTGTGAATGGGATCCATGGATTAGCTTGATATGAGCTCTAATCTTACTTCAATGAACTGAAGTCATTTGCAAAACTACATGGGAGTAGGATCAAGCAAACAGTGGTCCCATAATCTTTATTCAGGTGAAAAGAAAGCAATTCAGAGAATTTTGAGAGGGTTCTATGAACTGAGCAGCAAAATTACTGTTAGTCCAGGATAAAGTAAGCATGTAAATTTTGAGAAACAGGAAATCCTAAAGATTACGAAACCCAAATTCTCAAATTTCATGTTGTTGTAATCAATTCCATCTTTCAAATCCAACAACATTAATCTCTTTACCTTGTTTCTAATTGTTTTATGCTAGATTGTAGTTGCTGCAAGCGTCTGTCTGATGCTTCCTCTCTCTCCCGAGCAGATACAACATCTTCTTCCTGCAAATCATGTGAATTAGCCAGAGATTTCTTACTTTTGCTTGAACATAAAAAATGAAATGTTATGATGTTACAAACTTTGAAGTGAATATAAGCGCTTTATGTTTGCACTAGAACAATCTCCTGCAGTTAGAATACCTTTCTCTCCACTTGAGATTGAAGATCCTCAATCACTTTAGTCATTTCATCAACCTTTGCAGTTGCTGTTCTCACATCTACCTTGGCTTGCCTGTGTATAAAGAGACCAATCTATGAATTAAAATTAGCTAAATATAGGGAGGAGCAGCAGGGAGGGGGGACGCTGCTGATTTATTAGAACAGACTTATTAGAACTTTATTTGACCAGCTGTGAAATCTACTTCAACATGAAAGCTGAATAGGAACACGTTCTGTTCCCTTGTATGCAGCAGCAACAGAGAGGGTTCCAATTTCATTAAAATTACTGTTGTACTGTCACGTGTGGTGGGAAGAAATTTCTGATGACCAAGCAGGAGATTGAAACTGTTTAAGTATTGTTCAACACAGCTGTGTTGGGGACACCATGACCAACATTTTCCAAAGTAATCTAATGATTAAGACATGTTAAAGGGGTATGTTTTTCAGAAGGATTTCGTGATTATTGGTCCCTTTAAGTTAATTTAAACTGGGTACCCAAAATTACTTGCTATTTCTGCAAATTATAGCCTATGTGCTTCAGAATGTTTGGATTTGGCTAGAGAAAGAGGGAAGGGCAAAAAAGAGCACATAAATGGGACCAGGGAAAGTGGGTCAGCAATCATAAAGTTTTTCTAAACCAAAAAACTGAAAGAAAAAACTTTATTACAACCCTATAATGTGAGAGAGGAAAAAGAACCCAGATTCTTTCTTCTTCTGCGATCCACTTCACCCACCTTATTATATCTGGAAGCAACTAAAACTTTACAGGTACTCTAGTCTTTTTATTAAGATACTTAGGTACCCACCATCCTGCTTCTGTTCATATCCAGAACTGTCTTTGTCTTGGCCTTTGTACCTTTTGTCTCTTACCAAATAATCATCTTAATTATGACTTAAGAAATTAGACAGAACAGAACCTATGTCCCTTGAGGGGCCTGATCTAGTAGGCATGCTCCATGCAAATCTATTACACACTGGATCAAGACTTTGGAAAATGCACATCTGGCCATTTTCTTTAAAATACATGCATATATATATCCAGCAGAAGAAGCAGTACCATAAATACGACTGCCAGTGTCAATTTTTTACATAATAATTTAGCAGCCAGGGCACTTGGCCAGGAAGTGGGAAACCCCAATCTACTGCTTTTTTTCAGCCTGAGACCCACATCTTCTACTACCCCTAAACCACCAGGTTATAGAATACTCTAGATAGGGACAATGTCCATCCTTCCTGCTAAAGCTGTGCCACTGTGCAGAACAGAATGTAAGGTTCATGAAGACAGAATGAAGAGAATAAATCTATGGTTAGTAGTTAAGGTACTAAGTGCTGGTGGTCCTGGTTTCAGCTATCTTCTCCATGTCATTGTTTATGGGATTTTGTTTTATATTACTGTCCTGGAGAGCAGGGGAATTGCACCAGAGAAAGTTCTCAGAGTAAGAATCTATACCCCCCAACTCTAGGTTTTTAAAATTCAGTGATAATGAACTCCTCAGGATTGTTTTCTCAGTGTAAAAATGGAAATTGTTATGTGGTACCTCAGGTTTCAAAAGGTAGGGATTGTATTCCTTCTATCACAGAGCTAGCATTTGGCAGATCGCTATGTTTCTGTCCTGCAAATTCAGATCAATAAACCAGGAGAGTGCCCCACTACATCACAGGAGCACTGTATGAATAAGTTAGTCAATATGAGACCCCTGGATACTATGATGGATAGGTAAATTCCTTTGCGTCAGTCAAAAATGCTAAGACATTTAAAAGTTTACTTTTCAATTTTCACTAATATTTGAATTGACATATTTACTGATGTTAAGAATATAGAATTTATCATTCCAGATCTAACCATTTGTCCATCTAGTCTTGGTGTTCTCTTTAGAATGATTTGATAATGACTGCTTTTGAAGAGAAGATATATAATATAATAAAACCACTGAACACCATTCAATCTGTCTTTTCCTACTTTTAACAAAAAATGAAGGAGGGAAGTCTGTTTAACCTCACTTTTCTACCCAGGAAAATCAAGCACTAAACTATCTGGATGGTAGAACTAGTCCCCCTACCAAAAAGCACAGAAGAAAGTTCTAGTATATTATAGCAGGAATTCAATGTTTTCAACTTCTTAAGTATCAAAATGTCATTGTTACTTCCTAAGAAAAAACAAAAAAGGAACAAAAGTAACACACCTTCAGAGACCAGCTGCCAAAAGTAGTTTATGATAGTTGCATTTGTAGCTTTTGCCACTATTTAATTAATATAATTGCTATTTTAGAGTTTCAGAGTCTGCACATTGGTAAGTAGAGTTCTTTTCTGAATTCCACAAAGACAGAAGTGTTCGTCATTGCAGCAGTGGCACTACTCAGATTAAAAAGGCAAAACAAGATATAGAGAAAGGATAACAAGCTCAAAAGTGTAATCAATTTCTTCTTGTCACAGATGTCTTGCAAAAGTAGTGAGTCTGTCTGTAGTAAAGATTTCTTAAAGAGAATTTATTTTCCAATTATTCTGTTCCTTCCATCATCACCATTGCATTCAACCTTTTACAACAGAGTAGCTTTTTGGTCCTTTTTAAGATTCTCTACTTCCATCCACACCCTTTAATGCAGCAATGTTAGGGTAATTTATGTACTCACAATTAACAGTATTAGAAAGAATAATAACTGTATCTTTGGAAACCAGAAGTGCCATCAAACAAACCAAATGCACAGTGGGTACATCTACACGACACATTTTACTCGAGATTAGAGCAAATTACTGCGCAAAAGGTGTCACCATCTACACGTACAGATGCTTACCAAGCAGTAATTTGCTTTAATCATGAATAAATTTGCTACCTGTAAATACAAGTAGCAAATTTACTCATAAGTAATTACTGTGCAGTATGACACGTGTAGATGGCCAACTGGGAGCAAATTTGCTTCTGGTCAGCCAGGCAGCACGGGGCAGGAGATTGCTTGCTGCCGGGACAGGCATCCAGGCCCAGCCCTGTGCTCCCTGCCAGCCATGGGCTAGCACTGAGGGGGAGCCTAGAGCTCCCCCTGGCTCCTGCAGGGGGCCAGTGCAGGGCCAGTGTGGGCTGGAGCAGGCTGCTGATGTATATACCCACCCTGGAACATTTGCATGCTCAGAATCATTGAACATTTGCATGCTCAGTATCATTGATGTTATAGACAAGATTGTATTCAAAGTGCATGCTGTAATTTAGTTTTAAGTACAGTAAAAGCTACATTAACCAGCACCTTACAAGCCGCTTGTAAGGTAAAATGAAACTGGAAGTGCCCACCGTAAAGCGCTGCTCCACCTGGTACTGGCTACTGGGGATGACCTAATCGGTGACCTAGTGATTGATGGGAAGCTGGGTGACAGCGACCACAAGCTGATCACCTTCACCATCCGCTGTAAAGATGGCAAGTCAGTCAGCAACTGAAGTCCTTGACTTCAGGAAAGCTGACTTTGACAAGCTCAGGAGGCTTGTCAGTGAGGCCCTAAGGGACCACGACCCCAGGGGGAGGGGAGTTCAGGAAGAGTGGTTGCTCCTCAAGGGAGTGATCCTCAATGCACAAGCTAATTCTATTCCATCTTGGAAGAAAGGCAGCAAGAGGGCACAGCAGGCCCTCTGGCTCTCCAGGGATCCAGCCAGCATGGGTTT